GGAAAGAGATCTGAAAGATTTCAAATCACAGATTCCAAAAAAACCTTCTCATACAACAATATCTGTTATCACCTCATCTCAACCTGTTACTTCCTTTCTTTAGTCATCCAGCTGTAGCATCTTCTGTCCGTTTATGAGATAGAGATAACTACAGTCTGTGTACTTATCAACAAAGCAAGGATGAAGGAAGAATAGCTTCTTGCCTGAAATAGTTTTTGTGGGTTCATAAAGATACATAGAGTAGGTCTTACCTGGGTGTTGATTCTGATTGCTCCAATCGATGGAATTTCAAAGTAGTAACCTGAAGATGAAGAGGAGAGAATCAATACTTTATTCCAACAGATATCTTGTGTGCAGCCTTCCTTATGGTGCATGTCTGTGGCACAGAACGTTGAGTTTTCAAGAGTTAAACCATCACAGTATGTACAAAATGGATCCATTTGTAGAATGGAGTCTAATCTCCTCCATATGATTAGGTATCATCTCCAGTTGATGATGAGTCGTGCAAACATGGCAGAGCTCATGACCACTGACTCCTCCACACTCATGGCTGTGCTGCAGGATGTAAATGTAGAGGCTCATTGGGAATGCTGAGCCCTAGGCGCTGCTGCTGATAATTACAAATGGAGGAGTGTGACCGACTGGGTCAGTAACCATGCCGCTCCCCAAGTTATTAAAGCTATGAGTGTTTATACAAAGAGCTGTGAAACAGAGGCAGCATCATCAGAATGTTAAAAGGCAGAGACGACTTATTATTTTGATACATTATGCACTTTGCTAGTGGTTTGTGACAAGATTTGCCTTCTCTGTCTCATTTATTTGCACATCTGAGGGGGCAGACATGCGCTCGAGCACATGCGTACACATCTCTGCAGGTGCAGATTTTTGTTGCAGTTTTGTTCAGAGCAGCAGTTTGTCCCAGTGCTCTTGGCTACATGCCAGAAGTGGCATCTGTGGTTGTAGGTTAAAGCTTGGTGAGAGGCGAAGAGAGGAAATATAGGCAGTAACCGGAGAGTACGAATATGGATCTTGTTCCATACTGTGTAGGTCAACAACAGAGATGCACAGTGTGACGGGCAATTATGAATTTAATCAATAACCTATTTACTTTGTAATGCTCATTTACATAATGCCTCAGCGGTATGAGAAGCCAGTTTTCCTCGAACATCATCTTCACATTCATGAAGGGTCTGTTCCAAGACAAATATTTAAAAAATAATTTTTGGTATGGTTCAAATAACTAGGCTAACTACTTTGCACTGAGGTTGACAATACTGATTAGGTCAAGATTTATGCTATGTGCACCTATGTATGTATGTTTTCTTCCTGTGTAGACCAACATGCACTATTTCCTATTCATATTAAGTTTTCTTATTATGTCTTGCTGCAGCACAGCTGCATGGTGGTTAGTGCTGCCACCTCACAGCAAGAAGGTTCCGGGTTTGAGCCCTGGCTGACCTGAGGCCTTTCTGTGCCGAGTTTGCATGTTCTCCCTCTGCCTGTGTGGGTTCTCTCTGGGATCTCCAGGCTCCTCCCATAGTCCAAAGACATGCAGCTTAGGTTGACTGGTGACTCTAAATTGCCCATAGGAGTGAGTATGGGTGTGTGTGTGTGGTTGTTTGTCTACATGTCAGCCCTGTGATAGACTGACGACCTTTTTGAGGGTGTACCCTGCCTCTCGCCCAGTGTCAGCTGGGATTGGCTCCAGCCCCTCTGTGACCCTATTCAGGAATAAAGCGGTATAGATAATGGATGGATGGATCATGTTGTGCTTAAGACAACACAAACTGCAGCAGGTTTACCCAATAAACATGTTTGTTTTAAGTGATATGGTTGAGGATTTTACTTCTGTTGTAATTGGCAGTCTTGAATTTATGGGAGTGTCACTGCTGAAGGTATGGAGCAAGTTGGACCATCTGTGGTCGAATGGACCAAAAGACTTTAATTCACATACACAGGGTGGAGCTGAAACCCAAGTCCAAGAGTTTGTTGACCAGTCTACTGGGAATGATGCTATTAAATGCTGAGCTATAATCAACAAAGAGCATTCTTATATATGTCCCTTTCCAGTCAAGGTGTCAAAATCGTGTATGTAAAGTTGAAGAATGGCGTCCTCAGTGGATCTTTCTGCTCTGTAGGCATAATGGTTGTGTGTGTTTATGTTTGTGCTTGTGTGTGTTACTGTAGTTTGTCAAAAGTGTGTATTGTATGTCACGAGCGAAGGGTTAGGGCCTGTGGAAGTGTCGGGGAGCTGGCTCTGTTGGAGTAAAATACCAAAGAGTAATAAGAAGATATGAGAGCACAGCTCCACTGAGGCTGGTGCATCAATGCTATTGTCTCATGTTGGCACAGACTTTAGTACCATGGTAATCACTACAGCGGTGAGTAGCAGAGAACATGTTGGCACAGAGGCATAATCCTGGACTTTCCCCAGCCTGACAGGGAGATGGCATGGTAATCATCCTGCTACCAGACTCCTCCTGCTAATTAATAACAACTTCTGGGGAGATACTTCTAAAGCACTTGGCTCTACTTGCAATAAGCTAATCAGCAGCAGCAGTTGGCCGAGGCTTCATACACAAGGCTAAAGTCCTCATAAAGGAGCCGCTTTAGATAAACCGAAACACTGAGAACCAATATTAAATCAAAGTACAGAAGAGTGGAAAAGAAGTGGGTTATGGATTTAAAAAATGACAGTGTTGAAAATGGAGCACAGCAATAGCAGTCAGTTAGGTGGGGCTAAAATGAGCTGAGCCAAAATGAGAATCACGCAGACAATGCAGCTAACAAGAAGAACGGCTGAGTCACATGGGTTGACACACCGTCAGTCAGAGACGGGGGGGGGCCTATTTGCTGGGTTATTTTAGGTACTGCGGCAACTTTAATAATATATTCATCTCACATCACACACAGTAAGACAGACAACTGAATACTTCTTAAAGATAATGGGTCTGTAACGTTTCAGCTGGCTTTAACACTTTATGTTCTGGCAGATGTGATCAGATGTGCTTTGTTTCACCTGTAAGTACATCAAACAGTAATGCCATAGTGTCCTGGAGAACACCGGTACATCACTGCAGCAAGGTCAGAGGTTACACCACTGGAGGCCAGCAAAAACAAAATTATTAGGGGCTGTTAAGTTATTCTTTAAGTTGTGAGTTATACATATACTGTATTCAGATGGGTACTACACAAAGTAAGGTGCCACCAGAACAGCTTCAGTGCACTTTGGCATTAATTCTACAAGTCTCTAGACTCTACTGGAAGGATGAAAACCATTCTTCAAACAGATATTCCCTAAGTTGGTGTTGTGACGATGGTGGTGGAGATGCTGTTTAACATGTTGGTCCAAAATCTCTGATAGGTGTTCAGCTGGGTTGAGATCTGGTGACTCTGGGGGCTATAGCACATGATTCACATCATTTCCATACTCATCAAACCATTCAGTGACCCCTTGTACCCTATAGACAGGGGGCCACGGTCATCCTGAAAGAGACAATTCATTTATTCAGGTTTCTCCTTAATTGTCACCCATCTGTCCACACTGTGTGTGTGGCCTCATAGCAAGGAGGTCAAAGTGAATTGTCCCACTGTTCAAACGCATGCAGGTTTAGTTATTTGGAAACTTTAAATTACCCATATTTATGAATATAGCCTATGCGTGTTGGCCCTGCCACAGAAGCAGCTTTTGGCCATGAATAATGCAGTACAGAAAACTGATAAATATATTCTTTTTTTTATATAGTACGTTAGCGTCATAACTGTTCTGACATTCTCAGAATCTCAGATTTTTAATTTTTCACGTCCCATTACTGGTCATTCTTTCTTTGCCTATGGAAAGGCACCTAAAGGGTCCATACTCTTCAACCCAACATGTACTGTTGTGTACACTTGGCCTTGGCAAAAGTGTTCTCATTAAACTGCAACTACTGATTCTAATGACTGATTTTAATGACCGATTAGGCTTTGAATTTCCCATTTACTGTAAGAATAACTAGACTGGGTCTGTGTTCAATAGACACTCAGTACTGTACCTTTATGTAGCAAACATTAAATTGCAATTTTGGACACTTTTGGAACATCATTAAGAGGGTTAGTGTCACCCAACTGTAAATTTTCCACATATTAAATGTGATGTATTGCATTGGAGGGTTCTTAATAGAACAACATTTGCTCCATTGTGGAGATTTTGACAGGACTATATCGTGTAAATGTCAAACTGAGAATTCAGACAGCCAAATGAAGCAGGTTGGGGACAAATAAGATGCCCTATATGGTAAATAAGGAGTGATTTGGGACAGAACGTGGGATCATGTTCCAAGAATCCCCTACAAATTCCTTCTTGCTGACAGTTCCTTTAATATCACCATGCACAATCTAAGTATTGTCCAACTGATATTAAGCATGATGAAAAATGCAGCCATCTATGAAAAACCTTCTCTGCTTCAATTACTTCTCTTTTACATTTTACATAGAAACACATGTTTCAGTAGAAACATCTCATCCTCTTACCTCTGTTGGCACAAGCGATCCACTGCAAAGGGGTGACATCATAATTATGCTGGCCAACAGAGAAGGTGAACACACGAACCTGGATGGAGAAAAAGACAAATGGGTAGAGACAGAAAGGACAAAAGAGACAAACCATTTGAAGGGAATACTAGAATAATGCAGGCATGATTAAAATGGCCAAAAACCAAAGTTTCTACAGAGACTGGAGCAAAACTACACCACACACCTCCTCCTGGGTAGCAGAAAATTCACAGCCATGTGTCAACTACAATGCGCACATCTTAACTATGATTAGATTATCTTTCCAAGTCAACTCACACAACGGTCTCAGACTGCAGTGAGAAAGTTGTCAAACTGCAGATTATTCCTGTTTGACAGCAGCTTTCATGAGGGAACTGGATAGTAATGGATATCAGAATAAATATTGGTAGGGCTGAGAAATGGGGGGAAGGAGGGGTGGAAGTGACAACACGATGGGAACAAAGACACAAACTGTGGAGCTATTGGTTGTAATTTTATAGGCTCTGATGATGAAGTAGCTAATTAGTCAGAAGGTCGGAGCTGTTAACACCAAACAGCAAAACAACTTGAAGGAAACAAAATGAGGGGGTGGGGTTACAAAGAGTTGAAGACTAAAGAGATGAATCACAAGAGGAAAAAGCCAGAATCAAAGCATCCAAAATGGAAGTGGAGAAAGCTTGGAGAGGACATTATGCTGCACAGATTGGAGTGCTTGGCGTGTCTGACAGCCCCACTAACACGACTGTCTGTGCTATAATGAGACATTGTCAGTGCAAAATGGTGGGAGACAGGGAGGAAAAAAAGGGGCCTGCTGAGACAGTTTCTGGACATGCATGGTCTCATGGGCTGGCAGAGCAAGTAGATGAATGGATAACACCCTTGTGGGGACAGCCTCACCGTTTTGTTGGGCCAGTTGTACTTCTCAAAGATTTCCTGTGCACGATCCTCACCGCCATCTGTAAACATCATTATCATCTTATTGCAGTTGGCCCTTGGGGCACTGCTCTCCTGTGGTACATGAAGAGGGAAGGCGATCACGCTCGAGCATCATGTAAAACAGTGTAGTATTGTGGTAAGTACGTCAATGAAGTAAAGGGGAAGGAACACAATATACAGGTATTATAGAAAAATGAAGGCAACCCCACTAATTATAAACAGTATAAAATCATAACAAATGGTTAATGATGCACCATAATGTAGCTGCAATAAGACATAACTTCCAGTTTAATTGCCAGCATCTACAGCTCCTCTAGCAGACACCCTCTGCTCTTAGACCCAGATAAGGAGAAACTCACCTCTAGAAATCCCTTTAAACATTTCTTTAAACTCATTTAACACTTAAAGGCAAATTTCTGTAATGTCCCTTATGTTTAAAAATGTGTGTGGGTACATATATGATTGTAACTTGATTTATTATTGGTGCCTAATCTGGAAGTGTTTAAGTATAACATGGAGATAGGGCACTGTTTGTTCCGGAATGACGACCATTTTGTCATTTTTGTCACTCAAATTATTTAATATCTAAAACTTTTGTGTTTCGTCTACTCGTACATCATTTGACCAGACAGGAGGGAGTGACTAAATAATACTTTCCCCCTTATACTGCTTCATCTACACACACAGGGTTCCTTGCACTATCATAATTTTAGTATTTAATTTGAAGTACACAACATTATTCTAATGTTAAATTTGATTGTGTCAAGACTTTCGCAGACATTTCAGCACTACTGTATACGCTTATAGCCAGGCACCAGTTTTTAGCGTTCAGTTTTGATACATCTCCTCTCCCTGCTCGGACGGCAGCTGCTATGGATATCCAGGCCAGCCACATGTCAAACTGACAAGATTCAGATAAAGATAAATAATATTGCTACAATTACATATTTTTATTGTACTTCTGCCACCAATCATGGGAGTGAGTTTGCCACAGGGAGCGATTAAAAGGGGCCTTTTTATTTCTCATTCTGCTGGCAGAGGAAGGGGTGGGGGGGGTGGGTTGGGGGCTCCAGCATTTGGCTCTGTGCCTCCAAGCCCATCAGAGGAATATAAAGCGTCTGTGGCTGATCTCCTTTAGGCTGTGCTCATCAATCATCCCATCAGAGCCCATTAGGGTGGCAGCCTCCTAAAATATACAGCGGCATACGGAGCTGAGGCAGCACCTGCATTGAGCGCACACGGGCTGCCGACAGACGTCACAAGAGCACTGGCTGCTGCAGTGTCACTCCATCGCCACAGCAGTTACAATCAGACTATCTCCAACAATGACAGAACACTGGAAATGTCTTGTACAGACTTGAACCCTTCACTGTCAGAACTGTTATCACAGTAAGTTCAGTTGTGTTAACTGGACTAGACAGCAACTCTCACAGAATGTAAGATGCTGGAGCTACAGTGCATTATATATGTTATTTACGACTATCTAGAAGCACATGATTCATCAACCAAACAAACATCCACCCAGGCATTACCATGCCATGAAAGATGTGTTGGTTCTTACATTGAGAAGCTGCTCAAAGGCAAATGTGAAGCCAGACTTGTAATCAGTGGTTCCTTTGGCCTGCATATGCATGACGGCCTCCTTGAAGATCTTTTTGTTACGAACGTTCGCTTGGACGAGTGTCCTGAAGCATGGAACAACAGCATCGGCCTTCTCATTGAACTAGAAGGGAAAATACAAAAACACATGTGAGCACAACATATATGTACACAAACTTCTCCAGACAAAAATACCTTCAAATAAAAAAATTAAAAAAAAAAGTGTGGGTCCAGCTGTGTTTTCTCCATCATACGTGTGTGTGTGTGTGTGTGTGTGTGTGTGTATGTGTGTGTGTGTGTGTGTGTGTGTAGTTCATGGTGGCAGGATGCAGACATGAGTATGTGCAGATGTAAGCTGCCCTTCTGCTTTCTGGCTGGCAGTAAACACTGGTAATTACAACTTTCCACACAAAGAACAGGTGCACAGGCAACACCAATGCAAACAACCGAACAGAAACCCAGCCAAGGTAATATCATCTGTCTCATCTCATCCACCAAATTAGTTTAAAAGTGTGTGTGTGTATGTGTGTGCGTGTATTTCCTACTTGTTTTCAGTGTCTATGCATGATTACAATATTAGCAGAAATGTCTGTAATAGCATGTTTCAAACGTTTCTTCTTAAAGGTCAGCTTTAAAATTTACTAACATTTTCAGACAGATGGTTTGCAAAATGTCGACATTTCTCACAGGTTGGCCCATATTTAAATTGGCTGACAAAGAAATCAAAGAATATTCTGAGCCACACATTCAACAATCATAACAGCGGTATTTCTTCGTATCACATCTTTGGTGCCATAAAAGGTTGTGATATATAGCAGCAGCTCTGAAACAGGATTAAGAAAAAAATGTATGATATGAAGAAATTGCTAGGAAATAGGAAAAATGCACATATGAGTAGTTGTTTGATGAGAAATAACTAGGATGAAACATGTAAAATTAAAACAGAATAAAGAGGTTTGGCCAGTAATTCTGTTGTAATTTATTGTTATAAGGTATGTGGCCACAGGAACACCGGCTTTACATTTATTCTGAGTGACAACAGTGAGGATATGGGTACATAGTCAGTGATGTACCCAAGGTCATCAGGTGTTTTTCAGGTCTTTCCAGCATCATAAACCCTTGCTTGGGCGACTCTGAGGTTGATCAAGCCTCAGCTTGTCCCCAGCTGCATTCTCCTACAGATCTGCTCTCGTCAACCATAGCCACCCGGAGGCTCTTCTCTGCAGCCTGTGTTGTTATTGATGACTTTCCTCTTTCTCTCGCCTGTGATGCCAAGTGTAGTGTAGGCTCTGTAGACGGACTGCCCTGAAAAACCCCTTTGCCTTCCTTCCACCCATTCCTGTGGCAGTCATTTACCAGGATGTCCCATTTCTCCCTCTTGCATTGGAAAGCCTCCTCCATGCAGTCCTCCCATGGTACTTTAGTAGGCTAATGAAGTCATACCTACCAAAACAACCAGTACCCCTTGTGGCCATATACCTGTTATTGTAACAATAAATTATACTAGAATTAGTGGCCAAACCTCTTCATTCTGCTTTAATTTTAGGTGGTATTTCCAAGTGATGTCTAGTTATTCATAAACAACAACTCCCAGGCTATTTCCTAACAATTTCTTCATATTACTACCTAGTTAATAGCCAGCAAATTAAAGGGTTACCAATACATATATAAATAAAATAAAATATCCAACCCACAATGGGTTACATCTTCTATCTCAAATACATAAAAAATAAAAAAGTTCTATGAAACAAATTCTGCATTATTGTATCTAAACACACTTCTATTACAGAAGTGAGGTCACAGTTGAACCTAAAGAAGCATACAAAGTCTTTGATGATTATTTTCAGTAGATTTTTAGTCAGTGTTTTGTGTTTGCAAATAATTTATAGCATGCTTTTGTAAGTCCTCACTTTCTTTATAGGGATGAAAATCAGATGCGTTCCGACCCAGATTACTATGCTCATTTCTTGCTCTTAGAGCTGGGATTTAGAGGCATACAGTGGCTAAGAGCAATGGATTATGAAGGATTACTGAAGGAAGTCTCCAAATAGAGCCACCACACCAAGGATATGGATGTTTGTGTGCGCGCGTGTTATCTGTCCTGCAATACAGGATAACATTAATATTCCCCTAAACATTAGTTCTAATAGAAAGCTTGGTAATCAGCAGAGTGAGAGAGACAGACGGATGCACAATCCCACATGGACAACTGTGTTGCAGGGAGAGCAAATACACTGTAATGAGAGAAGTGCAGCATACAGTATGTACTGCAAGCAAACAACTGGGAGCACTGTGAGCGCACTGGGCCGTTTACTGACTCCCTGCAAGATTGTCAAATGCTTAATGAATGCAATAAATGTGTGCTATTGCTATTTTCAGGAGTGATTTGTGTCATTAATTGCAAATCACGATCTGCACGATTTCCACTTACCCTGGCCACATTCACATAATCGTCATCTGACAGAGTGTCCAGCATCTCCACAACTGAGGTTTTCATGAGCTTCAGAGTGAGTCCACTGACACTTCCACTCCTGCAGCAAAGAAGCAGCAAAGCACTAAGAGGTTCAGTTACAGGAAGATTTGTCTGAGTCTTGGGAGCTACATGAATTCATGTTTTTCATATTCTATGCATTTGTTAATGTTATTGTTTCATCACAAAATTATTCCATATGTGGGCATAATTTCAAAGTAGCATCTGTATGCTGCACAGTAATGTAGTGGGGAGTGGACTTCAGTTAAGGCCAGAAGATGAGAAACAATTGCCTTCCTCTACTTTTAGGCTTTCCCCAGACCAACAGGTGGCACTAGCGCCCTTTGAACAAAACACACTCTAGCCAAGGGGAATACATCAAAAGAGGAGGAAGAGAGATACTCACACATCCACAATGATGACCATGTCCTTTGGAGATGAAGCACCTTGGATATACCTGCACAAAAGACACAAAGAACTGGCTTTAATTTGTTCCCAGAATCTTTGAATTCTCCCTTTAGTGCAGTTCACAAAGTCACAATGAACTGAGCCATGATAATATGGCACAGCCACGGCTGAGCCTAATTAAGCTACAGAATACAGACAAGGCTTATGTACTCAGAAGGGTTAATAAGTTGTTCTATATACTTCAGTATTGGCAACAGCTACTGTAGGATTCCTCTATAATGAATTACAATGCCAACTTTAAATAATTCCTGTATAAGTCAAAGTAATTGCTAGTTTATAGTCTAAGTACTTAGTAAACATTCAGGACAGTGGCCTACACTGGACTGTACAATCTTCTAACCACACATACCATATATTTCCGACACCGATCAACATGCTGAAACAGGTCTTACATAGCAAAAGTCCGTCGTTTGTGAAAAAATTGAAAAATGTTTCAATAAATCAAAGTACTCACTCTTAACTAAAGGAAAAACAGAAGACTTTAGGGCTTAAAACAAATATCAAAGACATACAATTTGATTTTCTTTGTAGTCACACTATAGTGGCTCATACTTTCTAATAAGATGTATATTTAGTCACTTGAAATTTACATAAACTTGACAAGGAGCAGCCTGAGCAGTGTTGGCCTGTGCTGAGCTAAGTGCTGTCAGTAAAATAAGAAAAAGCTGACGCTCTCTTCCTTTGATGACTCATCAGTTGGGTGTCAAACACATTATTTATTCTGGCGGTCCCTTTGTCAGAGGAGGCACAAGCTGCTTAAAACCATTATGCTTCTGCTGCAAATAAGCTCCTAAAATAGGGCTGTTCTGGATGCTTGCCATTTATGGCACAGCGTAGGCCCACAAGGCAGAGACGGCCCTGAACTAGCAAGGCCAGACAACTTGTATCTTGGAAGGGGTGCACACATAACGTCTGTCTGTGGTTGATAGAGGATGACTTACAGAGGGAAATCAAAAATGCCCTCATTCCGCTCCAGTGGCAATTAAATTCACATTTACCCCTGATACAAAGAGAGCCGAGATTGATGGACATTAGAGACTTTTCGCCGGCACACTGCAGGGTGTGTGGGGGGTTTCAAATGTGAGTAATAGTTTGACATTGTGAGGAGTGGGCAGGCGAGCAGTTAGCAGTCGTCTTAGGCAAAGGCAGAGTGATCATCAGGGGTCTCTTTCTGCTGATTATCAGCCGTTCCGCTGAGTATGGAGAGAAGCCAGCAGCTGCCTGTGGGCCAGACAGCCTCTTTTCTCATGCTTGGCCAACCTGATATGGAGGGAGAGTGATGGAGCCTTGGCTCCACAAGTCTCAGCACTCACTAGCATGCACCACTCTAAACTGTAGAATGACCCCTGACCCAGGCTGAAGTTATGTCCCTCAGCACACTGTCTGGCCTGTTCAAAGCGGTTTTTCAGACACAACCTGGGCTGTAAAGCTGCCTGTAACCCCCCCCTCCCCCCAAGGGAGAATCCAATTATTTTCAATGATAAAGAATGCCACATCAAAGGTATAACTTCAGCAGCTCTCCACAGCTGTGTTTGGCGTGTGAAATCAGGTCTGGAACTATGAGGCATATTGGCATGCACTACTTTTATCAATTTAATTACTGAAATCTTAATTTGAGGGAGTGAGAAAGAAAAGAGAGAGTGAGCTGACTCCTGTCTTTTGAGTGGATGGGGTTTGTGAAAGCGATCACTGATGCAGGATGGAAACTTGGTCAGAATGTGGCCCACGTCTCCACTCCCTCAGGCTCAGGGATGGAGACACCCCATCTGAAGATTGAGGGAGGGTCATTTGGTGAGGGCTGATGCCTGCAGACCAACTGCAGGATTTCATTAACTTCTCTGGTCAGTCTATTTCTCATAGAGGAGAATGGTCTTTTAACTGTACTTCCAAGTTATTTTTATGGGGCTAAATGTTAATTATAAGGCAAAGCAGACCTCTTTTACTCTCAGACCTCATTACAGGTCATCTTCCACAGCCACAATGTAAAATCTCACAGTGACCGACCATGCAAACCTTGGCTCTAAAATCTACTGAGAAAATATCACTTTAAAGCAGATTGTCTCTGTCTAACTGTGAAAATGGCAACATTGATCAGCATTAATGCGGTTTAAGAGGAATGTGTGAGCAGTGCTGGAGTAGAGAAAAGTAACCATGAGCCAGGATAGCGTCACTCAACACCGAAGCTATAGTGCTGCCACGGCTGATCTTCCCTGCAGATTGCCTTGGTGTATCAGCACCGCTCACTTTCTCTCCATCGCCTGAAGTACAATTGAATTTTCTCTGTGCCTCTGAGCAGGGAACATCAGGATCAGAGAGAGCAGGACGGAGTCAAGGATTTTCAGCCCACAGGCTGATATGCAGTGTATAGTTATGATAAAAATCATGAATAAAGGCTGGTATCAGTGTATAATTCTCCACATTTTGACTCATGGATCCAGATGTGTTGTTTCTGCATGGATTCCAGTCAGTAATTACCTCGCAGTTTCTGCCCACTGATGCCATTCTTTCCCTGTCATTACCCAGTCTCCTGCATGCCAAGGCCAGGTGACAAGCAGATGGGCCTGGCTGGTGCTGAACTGAGCCCTGTCACCCATTTTGCCCCACTGCGACGCAACCGTCAGCCGACAGACACAATACATCAAACCAATGCTCTCTCACTGGAAGTTAGTCAGCATCTGACCACTGCTACCACCAAAACTATTCTGAGCATTATTTTAGATGTCACTGTTGAATTTACACATGAATCCAATCTGGCACAGTTTCAGTTAACAAGGTCCAGCTGAAGACAACATAAGAAATTAAACATTAAAAAACTAAATGTGATCTGTTGCAATAGAATTTGTTTGCTCTTATTTTAACTGACAGTTCTGTTTTTTTTAAATGATTGTTTATTATTAGTTTATTGACACATTGATTTATTATGACAAAGAAGTGATCAAAGAATTTTCAATTTGTCAGTAGATGTAAAATTTAAAATCAATTTTGAATACTGATTGTCATTTACCAAAAAAAACATTCAACATTTGCTGGTTCCAGCTTCTAAAATGAAAGAATTAATTTCTTTTTTCTGCTTTTACGTTGTAGTAAATTGGATCTGCTTTTATTTTTGTTCTATTGGTCTGACAAAACTATCAGTGTCTACACATCACCTTGAGCTCTGAGACCTTGTGAAGGGCATTTTTGAGCATTTTCTTTAATATCTCGTAGATTAATTGATCAATAACAAAACTGCATTCACAAACTAATTGATAAGGAAAACAGCTCTTAGGCAATGTATGGGGACTTGCAATATATCACAGACAGTACCAGAAGTCATTTGAGCTAACAGCAAATAACCTTTTATCGCTGCAGGTTAAATGACCTTTTTTCATACTGTGATATATTAACTAAACAAATTGAAATGCGAGTCTGGCCACAGCAGCAGCAGTAGCAGCAGCAGCAGCGACTTGTATGCCCATAAAAATGACCAGAAAGCCATAGAATGCATAATGTATGTCATGAAATAGCACGTTCATACCATCACAAAGACGTAAGTGATAATATGTACAATCCAGTCTGATGTGTGTATGCAGTAGACATGTGCTCTTTACACTGAGGTGAACAAATTGCTGCTCTAAATGAGAGGAGATTAAACCAGGAGCATTCACAACCGCCCCACTCTTACAACCTGCCACTACCCCCTCATAAATCTCAAATAAATGCATAAACAATCAATGAAAACAATATTCTGCATTGTGGTAAAAGAGTCTCATTGGAATTCATGAAATTGTTTTATCACGGCGCTGTAAAATTGATACATTAACTGTGCTGGCGGCTAACTCTCAGGAGATCGTGTTTATGGACCCTGACCCACTGCACAAAGTGTTGTGCATTGCGTTTAAACTGAAGGAATTATCTACTACAGTCATTTCAAAAACACGCTATAGATACACACAGGGATGATGCATGGAGTGGCTCGGGCTCATTTTACCATGCTACAGTGTAAGTGTGTGGAAAAAGCTTACTGTTTGTTTGGACTTGTGTGTTCATGCTCATGTTGTGAACTGTGGCTGCATGTGCAGTACATATACATAATGAGTGGGATGTAAATACAGTACCTTCTGTGCTGTGTGTTTCTTCTTCACAGTGTGAGCTCAAATATGCATGCGCCATGTTCGGGAGATGTTAGCAGAGTAACCACACCATAATGGGAGAACTGTATATAACAAAGAGAAACCGCTAGCATGTGTGTGTGTGTATGTGTGGATTTGTGTTGTGCTGATGGGCTTATTATTTTATGGACTGCTACCCTCTTAGTGCTCCTGTGGATGTGCCAGGCGAATAAAGATTGAATTAAGATAAAAATATATGAGGTGGTGCCCAGAGAGCCTGCAGGAGAAAGAGATGTTGTCTGTCATTTATTTATTCTGCTTTCTGTTGATTATGTGAAGTGTTGGTACCAACATTCAACATTTCCATATTTTTGGTTATGTCTAAGACAGACAGGCAAAATTTTATGCTCAATTTTTTCTGCCACTTTTCTTTCTTAAAAAAAAAAAGTACAGAATATTGAATTTGTCATGCAAGTTTATCATACATATTAGTCATACTGAAATACATCAGTGCACATTATTAGTAGACACTGCTCTGTCACTGTTGCTCTTACAAGTGGAACAAAAACTCTCCTGCGGTGTCTTCTTATCTCAAACTGAAATGTCATCAGTTTTTTGATTGGGACTCTCCTAGTAAAACTGAAAAGGCCTTGTGTCACTTTCAGTCTCACCAATAACACACCAGTCTTTCTTTGTCTCAGTTTCTCCCTGAAGTGGGGTGGAAAGAATGAAAGATGGAGGAGGCAAAGCTTAAGGGTCTAGATATTGGGAATGGTATTTTGAGGAGCCTCAGCTTCGAGGATTGACCAGCAGTCATAATATTTACAAAGAGGTTAGATTGACTTTTTGAAGAAATCAATATGTGATATAGCCTACATGCTGTTGTGAACATGGGAGG